GCCATAACCCCTGCGTTATTGATAAGGATATCCACTTTGGACTCCAATTGAGACAACTCTTTGGCGAAATGGCGGACCGATTGAAGTGAAGACAAATCAAGTTTTAATAGTTTTATGTCTGCCTTTGAATTCATTGATTGTATCTCTTTGACAGCAGTCTCTCCCTTCTTCACATCCCGGCACCCGATGTATACCTAAATATATAATATTTAATTTAATTTAACATTTTATTGTGTTTAAATAATATCAATATTAATTATAAGCATTGCTTTATAATAATAATTTACTTTTATTGTTTACCAGTACTAAAAATGTATTATTAATTGCTTAGAAATTATCAATAACCTTATGATTAAAAATTTTCTAATTTTTAATTTAACTGTTTCTATGGCTTATTAATTCATAAATTTAATTTAATGTTAAAATGTTAAAAATTAGTAATTTCTACATACCTTGGCCTCCCTGAGTGTCATTTGATACGCCGTCTCCTTTCCGATGCCAGTGTTAGCACCGGTCACCACAACTACCTGTCCATTCAGTTTCTTATCTGTCTTTACTTTATGTCTAAATCCGAAGAAATTAGTCATAAATTGATAGACCATTATCGGAAGAAACCGCCAGAAATATACTAATCGTATTTGACTCCACACACCCATTATTAAAGTATCAAGATAGTTTATATAAATTCAAAACACAATAATATTCAAAATATTATCAACTCTCGTCTTAGACACACGTCTTATAACAAACACAAATTCCTGGCTATTGATTATTTTTGTAGGAATACTGTTGAATGCAATTCCTTATAAAGTGGTTATCAATGCGCTGTCATGTCTGTGCTAAACTACCCGCCTTCCTATGTACCAAATGTGAAGGCTATGTGTACTAACCGTTTATGAGCTGTTGAAGTGTCTGTACAGCTCTAAAGGCATCCAAAGTATCGGTGCACTAGAATAGCACTAAACGAATCAATCCTTTAGTATTTATTGTAATTGTGATCAAGTTTAACATTAAAACATACTATAGTTTCTATTTTACTACAAGTGAATAATAAATCTTTCTCATAACAATGGTATAAATATTAAAAGTTTTACAAACTTACAATTATATTACATGTAACATGCACATTCTTATAATTTAGATATTTTTATATAAAATATAATAATAAAGAATCCAAAAAATGAATATCAGTTAAATTTATTATTATAGTATTAAATAGTGTAAAATATAATACCATAGTATAATTCAAATTAATGTATTGAAAACTTTAAATTGAGCAAAGTGAATTAATTCATTTATTATAAATACGGAATAAGAACAAAGAATCAATTAGAGTTAACTTGCTAACTTTATATAATTCAGCTTTAATCTGTTTGCTTCTATATTATTAAATTAATATTTAGATCTATTCAAATTAAAAAACTAAATACAAAATAATTTTATTTTTAATAAATTTAACTATTGTTGTCCTTGGTTATCTATCAGTGTAAAGTATTTATTAACCAATGTGTTAAATTCCAGTACATTTACTTTATATAATGATTAGTGCATATTAAGTCCACATTTAGTCCAATATTAGGTGAAATTAGGTGTATATCAAGTAAATTAACACATAAAATACAAATAAGTATTTCCTAAAACATTAAATACTCAATAGCTTGATAGTAAATAATGATTTATAATTAATGTTTTTTTATAAACACTTTGTTTGTTTAATTTTGCAAAGAATATATACTAGTTAACTTACACTAAATTTAAAAATATTGTATTTTCTTTATAAACTTGTTCTCTATACTCATAATCAATCTTTTTAGCTATAAATCAATATTTTTCCATTTATTTAGTATTTCTTGTAGTGATTAATTTAATAAAACTCGTAATTACAAGACTTGTATGCATTTAAAAATATCTTATATACACATTTTGAAGAAGATTTTAGCCATGTTCATTAATATTAATATCATTTTATTTGTGAAATTAATGACAAATAATGTATATTACATATACAGTATAATATAATAAAACCAATGATAACTTTTAATTATAAATAGGCTGTTTTAAATTTTCGACTTGCAAACAGATTTTATTATTTAAAATAATAATAAATAATATGAATAATTTAAATTGTTAACTTGTTTCAGATTAAATACAAAATAAATATGCTATAAAATGTAAGATTTATTTATATTCTGAGTGCATCTTCCAGTGCCACCAAATCGCACGTCAATTCCCACAACATATTAGCGGTTTCGTCATCCGTCGCCTGTTTTACCATTTTATCCACGCGTTTACAATTGCTATCAAAAGAAAATCAAAATATTATACTACAAAATATTTGGCAACTATTCATTATATAAATAATAACAAATACCCCCGGAAACACTTTTTCTAATTTATGTGTAAATAAAATCATTTTGCTTTTTCTGATGCTTATATTTTATATGCTAACTTATTGTAATATAATATACGGTATTATGGCTAAAAGTACTGACTTTATATTGTTATATACAATTTATTTATAACTTACTTGTAGTAAAATCCCGACTCGTGATCCAGTTCCTCCTGCAATGTACAATACAATGTGGTCTGAGCGCCCATATCTGGCTTCATAAACATCATATTCATCATGCTTTCACTCATATCGCTGTGTCGTTGCAAATCAGTCTTAATGGCCCCGGGATTTAATACATAGCACGTAACGGTACTATTGTTACCCAACCGTTTAGCCAGTTCTCGGGTGCCCAGGACTACAGCCAGTTTGCTCTGACCGTAAGCCCGGGTTGGCGTGTATTTGCCGTTCCGGAGGTTTATGTTATCGAAATAGATTTTGCCGATCGCGTGCATACTTGACGACACGTTCACTATACGGGCTACCGGTGCTCTCTTTATGTGTGGCAATAGGGTCAGGGTCAGTAGAAATGGACCTACATTTATATAATATGTTAGAATAATATTACAGAATATTCTATATTTATAATAAATACCCAAATAATTGGTCCCAAATTGCATTTCAANATGATGACTACCTTTCCATTCAATCTTCGCTCACTCTTACACTTTCGTCTCATATTAAGCGTATTTGTGCTAAAATCATAGGCAGCCAATCCTATCAATGTCTTTCCCGTTTGAATTGTTTCACACATTTTCACTTAAATGTATATTTTATTTATTAATCACTTTATGTAACAATTCAGTCAACACTCGACTGATGCTAAAATCAAATGATACTAAACTGATGCTTGATAGTCTTTATATACTTGTTTACTATTTATTACAACATAAGAGTATAGAATAGCTGTACCTTTAGATTGGTTTCCTTATAGTGTATGCATTTATATAGAAATTCTGTGCATTCATACACACGTATCAAACTTATGGTACGATCGCACCCATGGATTAGTAGTATTATTATACGCGTAACCTTTTAAGCGCGGTTGCACTTAACTTATTATTAATACAATGGATGTTAAAATGAAGTGAAAATAAGTTGTAGTCGTAATTCTAACTGAAAATAAAAGTAATAAAGGTTTTGATATAGTTAACAATAAATTTATTTAGTATTATAATGATTTTAGAAAATTGTGTTTGATAAATTTGTGATAAAAACTTTTGTTAAATATTTTATGCATTGAATGACTTAAAAACAACATACATTTATTATTATGTAAGTAACTTTATTTTAAATATAATTAAAACTTTTTAATAATAAGTTTTAATTTCAATAAATAATTATACATAATAAATTGTACTGATAAGATAATTGACACAAACACTTTTTATAAAGTTAATCCCATTATAAATTTTAAAATACCCAGTAAACAGAAGCGTTAAATTACAATATATTCAATTAAATTAGAATTAATTAATTCCCTCAACTAGGTTATTTATTTTATACAATTGTTTAATGAAAATTCTGGATACAAACTCAGATTAAATTGTAAACTAAAATTAGTTTTTTGAGAATTTATTTTATAATTACCGGTATAATAAAAACATTCATTTAAAAATAATACTTTTATTTACGTGTTAAAGTATTAGTTACCATAATAATATGTAAATTACAATAATAATTATTATTTTTAAATTTATTAATTAATTGATAATATTGAAAATATTCTTGGTGAAGCTATTTTATTATATTTTTCTATGATTTTATCTGTGACATTACTAATGTCACATTAGATACAATATTTAATTTTTAATCATTGATAATAATTAACAGTACTATACTGTAGTGTGCATTTAAAAATATAATTAAATGATTTTTAGGATATATGAAAAATACAAAGTCTGTTAAATTAGTATAATATAATTCAAATTCTGAGAGAATCATCCAATTCAACCAATTCACAGCTCAATTCCCATAACATTTTGGTAGTCTCCTCATTAGTGGCCTGTTTCACCAGTTTGTCCACTCGTTTGCAATTACTATATAAATCATTCAAAATAAGTCACAATAAAGTAATTAATTAATCAATATTAATGTTCACTACATACTCATAATAAAAGCCCGACTCGCCATCCAGTTCCTCCTGTAGTGTGCAGTATAGTGTGGTCTGAGCGCCCATTTCAGGGCTTAAAAACATCATTTTCATGAGGGTTTCGCTATACTTCTGATGCCTTTGTAACTCAGTCTTAACGACTCCCGGGTTTAACACATAAACGGTTACATTACTCTTATTGCCCAACCGTTTAGCCATTTCCCTGGTGCACATGACCATGGCCAGTTTGCTCTGACAGTAGGCCGTCTGGGGATCGTATTTACCGTTTCGGAGGTTTATGTTATCGAAATATATTTTGCCGATTTCGTAGAAACCTGAGGCCACGTTCACTACCCGTGCTTTCGGGGCTTTCCGTAATAGTGGCAGTAATGTAAGGGTTAATAGGAATGGACCTAAAGTTTAGAATAAATTTTAAAAATTAAATACAAGAAATATATCATTTCAACAAAAATATTATAATAAATACCCAAATGATTGGTCCCGAACTGCATCTCAAAGCCGTCCACAGTCTCCCACTCCGGGCACTGATATATACCGGCGTTATTGATAAGTATGTCAACGATTGCCTCCCTTTCCATCACTTGACTGGCGAACTGTCGCACGGATTTGAATGAAGACAAATCCAATTGAAGTGAAGTAATGTCTGCCTTTGGGTTCACTTTTCTGATGTCATCGACAGCCGCGTCCGCCTTTTCTAGACTCCGACACCCGATGTATATCTGTATCGAGTTTAGAGTCAAACAAACGGTAAGTTTTCTAAATGTCTGTAAATTGTGAATAAATGAGACAAACCTTAGCCCCGCGTAATGAGAGCTGGAGTGCCGTCTCTTTGCCGATCCCAGTGTTGGCACCGGTAATGATGACTACCTTTCCAT